AAAATAAAATAAAAATTATATAAAAGTTGTAAAAAGTATTTTAAAAATATGAAAAATTTATAAAATAAAAATTAAAAATATTAAATGGCTCCAACACAGTATTTAAAGCCTGTTCAAAACAGCTTTATTAATTATTAATTAAAGACGATGCAAGTTTTTAGTCTCTTTTTTTTTTTTTAAGTAGATTGAGCAGGTTATCAAGCTCCCATGTGAGTTCACCCCGAAAACTTGGTTTTTATCCTTTTCAGCGTATTCGTTAGTGAGAATAATTATAGCAGAATGATCCAAAATGGAAAATGAAAAAAATAACGCTGAACTCGTTTTGCTTAAAATACAGCGTCCCACCCATTTTGCACCTAGGAAGCACGGACTCACCAGGCCTCCCTGCCAGACGTCCCTAAGGAAGTCGCCGTTAGTCCCAAATTTTGCGGCCTTCAGCTCGCGTCCAAACGGGCACTAGGTCTGACCCCTCAGTCAGACCGTGCGGAGCAAGCTGAAGGGACAAAACCCCGGCGAGCCTGTTGATTCAACACAGTATTTAAAGCCTGTTCAAAACAGCACCATGCTTTATTAATTAAAGACGATGCAAGTTTTTAGTCTCTTTTTTTTTTTTTAAGTAGATTGAGCAGGTTATCAAGCTCCCATGTGAGTTCACCCCGAAAACTTGGTTTTTATCCTTTTCAGCGTATTCGTTAGTGAGAATAATTATAGCAGAATGATCCAAAATGGAAAATGAAAAAAATAACGCTGAACTCGTTTTGCTTAAAATACAGCGTCCCACCCATTTTGCACCTAGGAAGCACGGACTCACCAGGCCTCCCTGCCAGACGTCCCTAAGGAAGTCGCCGTTAGTCCCAAATTTTGCGGCCTTCAGCTCGCGTCCAAACGGGCACTAGGTCTGACCCCTCAGTCAGACCGTGCGGAGCAAGCTGAAGGGACAAAACCCCGGCGAGCCTGTTTATTCAGCAGCAACGCAGAGACTCCGTAGCTCAGGGGACCTGCAATGGGAATGTTATGTGCTTCCCTCGTTACTTCAATTTAGGCCATTAGTGAGCTAAAAGCCCTTCGCTACCGCGTGGCTGGCTGACGGCTCTAAAGAAATCAAGTGATTCATTTTGGTTCCACATGAGCCGGGGTTTAATAAAGCAGAGAACTCAAAAAACCGAAACACAAGCTGGTTGGCAGCTTCACGCTTCTTCAGCCTGCAACGTTTCTGGTAAACGCTCATCATCAAAGTCTTTTCAAGCTGAGTTTGAGACGATGACAAGACAACATGGGGAAACACCCTGCATCCTATTTGTTCCACAACTATTTTGTACTTTTGTAGGCATTTTAAAGTCCTCTCAGTCCAACGGTTTCCAAGAGCACCGCATTTATAAACAGTAAGTAAATGCTCACTCTGAGAAATGGTCAGATACGTGACGGCGCCTTGATATGACAGAAGCATTTGAATCGTTGTTTGTTCAGATTAAAAAAAAAAAACAAACCCACAGCAGATTCCAAGAAAGTGATTTATTTTCACTTGTCCTTACAAGTTAAAGCCAGTACGCTTTTCATTAAAAAACAGTATCATGTACTATTTAGAAAATGATTACACCTTTCTTGTCAAAGAAAATACACCCAATTATGACCTCCTGTCTACCTTTTAAGGGTAGGTGGGTTGGTTTCTTTCTTTTTTAAGAGTAATCCTCAGAATGTATTGGCAAAAAATGCATATAGGTGAGGATAAAGTTACCAGCAAATGAAGAAACGTTCCTGTATAATTAGACATACGTTGACACAGAGGAACTCGTCCACCAACTAGTGCTCCATCGGCTCCTCTGCCTTTTCTGCAGGTTCATCAGCAGGTGGAGCAGGCTTAAAGAGAGGAAAAACGTATATATATTATAGGAGGGCAGAAAACAGTATTTGACAAGTCAGCTTTATCCTGCATTGAGCATCACGACTGGTAAATGCAGCTCGTCAGCAAATAGCTTACAAAGTAGTGTTATCCTACGCATGGAACAGGACAGAGTTGGTAATCGGGAGACGAAGGATGCAACAGGCATGAGAAACATATGTAGCCACTTCTGTTGTGAAAACCAGTACTTGATCAAAGATGAGGAAATACGACACTGGAACAGCCTGGCGCCAATTCAGCATAAATTGATTTAATAAGCATCTCAGTCTCCAGCTAAGATTATATGGTTTTCATATAGTAACTTCACATTTTAAAAATCACATTCCTAAAAATCTACTGGAGTAGTAGAGAGTTAAGTGTCGTAAACCTAAACGTGATAGGTCATATATTGCAAAATGCTGTCTTTCAACAAAGCCTATTGATTTATATCGAAACCACACACCTTTCTCTGTGGCCTCTCCTCAAGACCTTCTAGGAATGGTGCTACGTCATCATCATCATAGATGGTAAACTCCATGTCTTTGCCAACAATTCCAATGGAAACATTCTGTTAAGCAAAGTTTTGAAAGAAGTGAGAAACACTTTTCTGCAAATAACTGTGGCTGTACAGCTTTTGCTTGTGAAACAGATGAAAGCGTCCTCCTGTGATAAAGAGACACATTGTGCTGTTTGTGTCTGCTTTAGGAAAAAAGGAAATTTTGAGACTCCCTCTTTGGTAGATTGTACGAGAAAAGGAAAGGGAGGCAGACTGATACCCTACAAAAGCTATCATGTTTCAAAATCTTTTAAGTAAAACCACTTTTCAAGGATTTCAATTTCTTTCAATTTTTTGTTTACTTTTTAATAACATACATGATTTTTCAAAACCACTTATTTTAATCTTATTTTGCATTTTCATTAAAGTTTAGAAAAACAAGGTGGGCTAAGAATAAAAAAAAAAAAATATTAAACATGGAAAAGGGCAGATCAGCCACAAGCAGAACACCAACTAATGGATATCCTTAGAATTTTCTTGTTCAACAGTTCCTCAATTCATTGTCAGAAGTTTCTGAGTAACCAGCATCAAAAAGTTGCAATCAACTGTTTGTACATTACCTTCCCTCACCTCCCAGGTGAATTACTGACTGTGCTTACGATGCAAAGTTGTAATTCTAGTTGCATGTAATGCATCTTAAACACTAATCAAAGTTAAAAATAGAATGAAGCAACCAGGGAAACGATGTCTTATTCAGAGAAAGTATCATTTCTTGTTAAGAAAATTAAATCTGAGATAATTAAGGAAACTGTAGATAAACTGGTGACATGAGATGAAGATGATATTATCTACCAGTATTCAGCTGCCAAATTTCAATGCCAGCCATACTTTATATGAATTTTGTCACAGTAACTTCTAATAACAGTGGCAGTAAAATTTCTTGTTAAGAAAACCTAGCATTTACCTTGGTGGTCAGATCCTGTTCAGCAGGAAGAGTCTCTCTCAGGGCACGCAGTCCATGTTTAACTAGCTCGTTTAGATTACCTTAAAATGAAATCAGAAAGACATTTACAAAATGTATGGTGTTCTCTCTAGACACTCATTTATTTTTCTTCCCATTCCTAGCTGGCAACTAGAAAATCAGCTTGTCTAGCTTGACTTCCAGAACTCCTCTCCCTAGGTATGTCTGGTACTGATCACAGAGTTAGTTATAAAAGTATACCTTGAGAAACCAGCCCTTCCCTACATTTGAGGTCAAATGCGTCTGGTTTTGGCACCTGCCTTGCCTCCACTGCAGCAATAGTCACACTATTGTTTCCCCAAGTAGCCATTCAGTAGCCTCCTCATCACTGTTTCATATAAAAATAAATCCACCATTTTAAATGCACCACCTAAATACTTGCCCTGACATACTATCCCTGCTCCGATACGGGAAGAATTGTTCTTTCCCTGGGTTAAACAGGGCAGAGGCCTTTTACTTTTTTCCTCTGCTTTCCTGAGCACAACTTCTCTTTTCATTAGATGTAATAAGCATCCAGATGTTAGACATGAAGATTTGTGAAATTTTCTCTACAATTTTGTCTTCGTGCAGATTTACACTGATGCCAAACTTGGCTCCTAAAATTTATCTACCTAGCTTACTAAATGCAAAAGAATGAAGCAGTAGCAGAAAATAAACTGCAGAACTGATGAATACCATTGGATAGACAGGGTTTCGTTACTCACAGTCAGTAAATTCAGTCATGTGTCTCTCCAAGTAAGTTCGTGCTGACTGTGAACGAGCACCAATGGACATTGCTTTGCAGTCAAAATAGTTTGCAGAGGGACAAGTCTGGAAGATGTGAGGACCCATATCCTACAGAGAGAAAAAAACCCACAGAACGTAAAACAAATGTATAAATTCATACCAAGTCTGCTGCTGGAACACACGGTATTTTCTAAAACAGTTTTGCTTCATGGTACATTGCATAGCTTACATGTATGCACATACATATATATATTTTATATTGCTTATCATATCACTGTTCTTACACAATTCCTTCAAAGCTACTGTAAAAAAAAAAAGCAATAATCTACAAAAAAAAAAATCTTTCTTTACACTTTGTTCATTAAAATGCAGTTTTTATGGGGGCAGGCTGGCACCAAAAATGTTTCTTTCTCTGTTCCATAAAATGTACTGTGCTTACGTATGCCTCCTACGTCATGGCTTGCAGTAGATATTTTACACGCATTCCATCTTATCTGCACAAAAGTAAAAACCTGCGGTGGATTTAGCCATGCCATGCAAGATTTCAGGCAAGACAACAGTTTCCTTCAACCTTCGTCAAGTCAAAAATCTTGAGGGCAGAGATTCTGTGTGTGTTGCATTAAGCAAACTGTTGTTGCTAAACAAGTAAGCTTTGGATTTCCACATCCATTTTTTGTAAAAGTATTTAAAATAATAGTTTGTAAAGCTCTATAATCAATAGTAAAATAATTACCGTCATCGTGGGATCAATATTTTGATGCCTTAAAACACAAACAAATCTTATTTTTGCAGTATCTCATTTTGCACCTTAAAATAGTTAGTTTTTCATTTTTGCAAATGTACACCTCATAAGTATAGGTAGGATTAGCTATTAATTAACATTTTTTAAAGTTATGTTTTAGTGTAAGATACAGAAAATTATATCCTTATTCAGAGAATTTGGATGAGTCCGCCTCTTCCACCTTCCCCTCTTAACATCTATTTGTTGTATAAAACCGCATTAAGCACACTTCCTTTTAGATCAATAGTAACTAGCGCAGCTTACTTACATCATAACCCGCAATGAGCAGTCCTACGCCATACGGTCTTCTGCCATAACGCTGCGTTGGTATCTGGGTTTCTTAAGTAAGCTAAGGAAACAATCTCAAAATAACATGTTAATTACCTAAAACATTTTCCTAAGCCAAGCAGAGATGCACCGAAATCGTTGTATAGTCTTTGCAAACCTTTTTGCAGGAGTGAAGACTATGTTCAAAAGAAACAGATCTTGCGACTTATTTGGAATACCAACTTCTTTTTCACCAGAAGAAAATTTAGCAATTAACTTTCCCGAAATAACTGAGTGGTGCATTCAACTAAGTATTAGAAACAGTTCACCTAATGCTGCACAGCCTCATTTAATTTCTTATCCCTTTGAACTTTTTCTAGGCACCTGATAACAGAATACACCACCTCCGCTCTGTTCCATGCAGAGATGGAAGTTGCCACAGAAAGAAAACATCTGAGCGAGCAGCTGCAATCCAGTAAACGACCATACTTTGAACAGTGCAGTCATCTTTCCTCCCCCACCTCCAAAGGTATGGGGCTGTGTAACAGAAAAACAGTGCTATGTTAAATGTTGCATAGCACTTTATTGCTTCTCTACCCGTTCAGCGCATATTATAGGATATTCTCTGAAAGAATACACAAGCAGTGTGAATAAAGAAAAATTAACTTCGAATTAACTTTTTTAATTTAATATGACTTTTAAGCTGTGTTATATGAAAATCATTTTATGAACAACTAAAAAGCTATAAAAGTGTTGCAAGTGTAAAAAAAAAAAGGATACTGCTTCCAATTAGTGACACTAGGCGAGAAACTGGAAGAGGTCTATCAAACACAAATCTAGAATCCAGACACTCCTGACGCATGAAATTGCTAGGAGGAAAAAAAGAAAAAAAAAAAAAAAGAAAAAATCAAACCAAGATATAGATGAAAGTCACAATGAGTTTTTGCCTCGATACTTGTCTGTTAAGGTAAGTGTATTTTTGTTTCAGCTCTGCTTGTTGAGAAAAAGGGTCAAAGGCATTATGTAATTTCATTTCATCATAACCTATAATTGTTATTTAGAAAGTTGACCACAGGTTTGAAAGAGTATTATAGTATTTCAGCCGTACAAATGCAAAGAAGGTAGAAGTTCACGCAGGCAACAGACGGATCATCTGGAAAAAAGCCACAGTTAAATGGTAACATTTCTTTGTAACGTTACAGCAATCAAAATTCATTTTACAAATTCTTCCTATGTCTTCTTTGCCTTTTCCTATCAAACTGAGGAACACTCCTCCTCCCGTGTACATTCACCTCATCTGATGAAACTATGTGGCCAGCAGGTAAAAAGCAAACCCCGCTGAAGCCGACACATACAGCAGTGTATGTTTTTAATAACCTTCTTAAATGTGCGTACACAGAAGCAGCTGCTAGAGGGAAATGAGTGATGATGGACTTTCTCAGACTGCTTGGAAACCCCATCACACTGAGAAAACCAGACAGGACTGTCTTACTAGTAACAAAACCAAAGAGCAAAATTTTGGGCCAAGCAAATGAGATTTCTGCCAACTAGTTAAAAATCTGCCAGAATTTCATGCTGAGGTCTTTGGCATAGTACAACAGAGCAGCAACTCAAGACTAATCCTTAGCTGACCATAAAATTTCATTTGCAATAGCCTACAAATGAACTTTCACTCATTATTGCAGAACTGTGTATGTCAACAACTAAAATACTCACCACAAGAGTCTTGCATCAGCAGTAAGTCCAGCAATTGAGATACCAATATGGTTGTCAACGTACAGGATTTTTTTCTGATGAGCTGCCAGCTCAGACTGTGCTCTCTATGCATAAAAGGAGAAAGCTATGTGGCAGACTGAACAGTTTGCCAAGCACCGTGGAGAAATCTGCTAACATTTATAGCAAGAACTGAATATCATCATGAAACAATAAAAAAAATAAATTTATAAACTTGCAAAAGAAGACAAGAAAAGCCTAATTCCACTTCAGTAGGAGACTGTCAGAAAGAAAGAAAGAACAGACACTCACCCAAGCTTTGGGAAAAGAAAGAAATAGTTTTACTACTTAATAACTAATGGGGCGGGGGTGGGGAAGAGGAACGCTTATCTTTTAAGGGGAAAAAAATTCTCATTCATTTCCTTCACCATTTTGTGAAAATCTGCTTGGCAGAGGTACTATAGTTCTATACTGGTACTCAAGCAACAGGAAACTGGGATTGCATTTACATTACACATAGAAGTTCCGACTGTGCAAAACTAATTTGACAAACCAAAACTTTTCTACTAACGTTATTGTCCCAAGAATACAGTTTTGAAGTTACCTTTAAAGCAACCAAAACAGCGTGCGTTTTTGATTTCAGCCCCACAGTAGCTGAGCCTTGTTTCACAGCTTCCATGGCATATTCTATTTGATGAATTCGGCCCTGCAGAAGAGAATCAAAGGTAATCATTCTAAAATCAATCCTCTGTACCAATTTTCAATGGTTCTTGATTTTCAGACCTTTGATTCCCCCGCCCCAACAGGTACACTGACTGCGTAACACAGTGTAAACCTACAACCAACAGACTTCTTCAATTATCTTCTGCAAACCCCTCACCATTAACCCAGATAAATCTGGCCATCTCTCAGCCACTCACTACTGCATACAAAGAAACAGGAAAACTAAAAAGAAAGGGTGAATAATCTTGACATTATTAGAATCTCAAGACTTTTGTCACTGTCTTCAGAAGAATCAGTATTTGACCTAATGTGATTCAAAGACAGAACTTCCGGAACAGCTGAACAGCTGAAGTTGGATGCTTAACTTTTAATCTTGTTTCCTGAAGAAATGAGTCTTATGCAATTGTTGTGTCTCACCATCCATTCCCCAATAACTTCTGAACAAGTTATTAGTCAACTGCAGTAAAGCCTGAAAGAGGAGTAGAGGTCTCAAAGATAATTAAGTCCCCACAAGTTCTGCAAAGGCGGCCAGGAGCTTTGCAGGAAAATAAGACAACATCCTTTTAATGCAACCACTGAGGGCAAAGTAGGTAATTTTATGCACTCTAGTTGGCCAGCCTATGTCAAATAGTCAGCACGTTCACTGCTACTGCACAAGTCCTGGAATTACTAACTGCAGCACACAGTTGCATCCTACCAGTTGTGATGGAGCGGAACGTAGTGCTGTTACAGTGAAACGTACTGGGGGTAATCTACAGGAAGTCACCTTCTGTTAGGTTGCTGGGGGTTTTTTGGTAAAAGGTTATTGATTTGATTTATCTAGAGAAATACAAATCTAGACGCTTAAAATACCCTAATGTTCCATTTCATCCACTAAGTTATAAATGGAATTTCAATAACATAGGACATTTCCTGCCCGAGAGCAGTATGGAATCACTGCGACCTGTCCAACATGTATTTATCGACTTTCATGAATGACTTGCAAGGCTGTAAAAGTGTGAAACCCCTTCTAGCCTTTAATCTCGTATCTCCTTTTCTTTACAACAATATTTAAAAACACCCCTGAATAAAATATGATTATTCTTTGCTCCTGTATTAACAATGCCAATAATTATTACTATAGCATATCACTGCCTCATCTACAGGAATGTATGGAGCAGTAATTGCAGCAGAGTAGCAATTTTAAATGTCTGTTACAAAAGACATCAACACTATTCATATATTCAAGGCAATTTATGAAAAAAAATAGAAATTAGTGTTGTTAATGACTTCACGATATCTACTAAAAGTCTCAAGTGAATGCTATAGTTTTAAAAGTGATTTTTAAAGTAACAGATAGAGTAAAAAATTAAAGTTCCTGATACAGAATCTGCCAGAGAAACACAATCATTAAGAAGGATGATAACAGTTCAAAGCCGTCTACAGTGATCATGGTATTGACTAAAGAACATTCAAATATTCAAGGTTGTCTTCATACAGGACGGAAAGTACGAAACATGCTCTGTTACAACATATGTTGAAAATTTATCTTTCAAACACTACTACTTCACGATGAAGATTCTCAGTAGTAATACAAACCCACAAACTAATGATATATTAACTTTCTACTAATACAATTTGTTATTTACATTATTTGCATTTAAAATAAATCTTTAGTTTTCCTAAATCTAGAAACGAGTCAATTTTCAAGACTCCGATTTTCCATAAGTATCCTATCTTAAAATGTACATACCAACAGAAGAGGCAATATTAAACACCTGAACTGACACCTGCTTTTAAAATTCTAGAATATTTATTTTGAGGTCAACACAACCTGTGTAAGTTTTAGAAGAATACACAATGTGAAACTGATTCAGAGGTAATAAAATTTCAAATCAAGTGCAAATCTCAGTATAATCTTAAGCACAGAGATAGCATGAAGCCTCCCTAACATTTCACAACATGGGGAACTAGGGACACACAGCTGCACAGACTTCATCGTTGAAGCACAATGTAAACTGCATTACAAAATTATATGGCATTTAATCCCTTGCATGCTCTAGCTCTCAATGTTATAAGCTTTACACATGGTATTTATTGAACAGGAATGTTTGTGACCATTTCAATTTAGAAAATTAAGATCTGTGAATTCATACTACAAAAAAATCAGTATCTCAGATTCCATGCTTCAGATTACCATATGGGTACAGTCATTCAAATAGGGGCTTACAAGGCACTAAAAATTGTCTGCACAAAAAGAGGAACGGGTGCTGTCATGCCATACTCGAAGAAGTCAGCATATTCTCACTTAAGCACTAAATACTAACTTTTAATAATTTGATTTTGTTCTGCACAATTTGAATACAGTAAAGCTCTTAATAGAAAAAAAAAAAAGAAAGTTCTTCCCAACTGAAAACTAAATAGTTCCTTTCCAACATTAGCTAGCGAATAAAAGAGAGAACGACCTAGCAGTAGCCTAATATTTGGGAGATTTAAGCTCAGTTTCATGCTTTTTGATACCTTACTTACCAACTTTTTATTATGGGTCTGTAAATTGATCACAGAATCATAGACTGGTTTGGGTTGGAAGGGACCTTTAAAGATCATCTAGCCCAACCCTCAATGATGATGGCATCTATTTTGCATCTCACAGGTACATTCAGAAAACAAGTACCTTAAGTACTTCGAGGTGACAGGGCCCACCTAAGCATCATTCAGGCTCACAGAAGCTTAGAGGTGTACTAATGGCTTTCCGGGAACCTACAGCCTACAAAACAAGAAGGGAGCAGACTGCAGTAAGCTCTAGGCACCTGAATACAATCTACGCTATTGTGATACCAGTGCTGCAAAAGTGAAGAGAAAATAAAAAGCAAGTAAAAAGCCAGTTAGCAAGCTTAGAACATTTTACCTGAGGGCTCCAAACTGTGACATCATTGTCATACTGGTTGCGAAACTAGAATGAACAAAATACAATCCATTAGTATAGCTAATAAGCAGGCAGGCAGCAAGAGCATTCCCGAGTGAAGCTCTGGCCATTTTCTCTACAGGGCCTTTTACGCGCAGTATTTGTTCCCGGCACTGAAACAGAGAACCGTTCTCCGTTAAACTCCTTTTCACGCCGGAGTGCGAGCACACGCTTAACGGGCAGCACCAGCTCGGAGCCACAGAGCAGCGAGCCCACTGCCTCAGCCCCCGACACGAGCAGGGAGAGCATTAAGAGCAGAAGCGCGAGATCCCGGTGCCCGGGCCGGGGAGGGCCGCTGCCTGCCCCGCCCCCCCCCCCCCCGCGCG